TGGGGGTCGGTGAGGAGACGGGTGGGAGAGAGGGACGATAGCCACCTTCGTCAACTAGTTTAGAAAGTTTTCATAGTTTTACTGCGACGTCGCCAATAAAATGAAGATGGAGGCATAGCGCGCCTGAATTAAAAAATCAGTAATGAAAATTTTCCCCGATTAATACGCTCAATTCCCAGGCCAGGACGGCCAGTCCCCTCGTTAGGCATCCCCCGATGATGGGCTCTAATACCAGTAACTCTTCGGATGATATGAAATATTACACAATTGAGGTGGAGACGGTAAGTGGCACGCCTTAATGAACCACCACGCGTCTTACCACGCACGCGGTCCAAAGGTTGAATTTCCTACCCTCCCAGGAACGGTCAGTTGGCACTAGGTTGGTCTGGGTGGATAAGATCACTGGGTTGTTTTCATGGATTGGCCTTCGCCATTCATTGTGCGAACTATTTCGCCACTACGATTCTGAATGGAAGCAGAATGCGTGCCGCGTCCCAAAAAAAAGGTTTGGTAAGGGTTACACCTATATTGGTTACACCTGTCCTTATTAAGTAATTCCCTTGGGCTCCCTTAATTCTTCTTCTCAAGCGATTTTCACCGTGAAGTCAACTGGTCGGAGGAGCCATGCTTCTTCCATTGAATCAAGGTCTCTTGCAGAACTTTCGTCCGAGGGAAGAAGTTCCTTCACACCAGCAAGGAACGTCTCAACACTCAATCCCCCTAACTTTTTTCTGACATACTCTATTTGCACTTAGTGGTGCTGTTCGGGATAGACAGACATTACTGTCTTAGGAACGTCCAGTTCATCCACCTTCGAGGGAAGAAACACTGTGGTGATTTCGCTGTTCCTCAATGAAAACGAAAGTCCTGGTCCAAGGTGGCGCGCAGTGACCGCGGCAACGGCGACCTCGTTGAGTGACACGAAAATCGCCATCGTCGTCGACCGAGTGCTATGTTCATTCGTGGTGATGTTTTTTTTACGATGGCGATAATTGGAGCGAAAGTTTCGCGCGTGTGTGCGCTCGGACGCCGCTTGTGCGACGACACGATGGCGGCCACTACAGTACGCATCCCATATACGGGTTAGTTTTTCGTGTGTGGGTCATCGAATGAAGAACTGAATGCGCTAAAATCGTCTGGCGCTGCGCGCGCGCTCTTTCACTTCCTCGACCCTCATTTTTGAGGAAGTGAAAGGCGCGACAGCGAGCGGCGTCGAAACGAAGCAATCTGCGCTGACCTACATACTACGTAAGGGCTGACGTTGTTGGGGAAAAGGGGATATCGGGAATGCGTGGGGACTTTCAGAAAGTTGAATCGTCCCCCTGGAGTGAATGCGATTCAATTCTCGCTTGAATAGGGAGGTCCTCCGCATCAACTAGGAAAATTCATATAGAACCTGGGTCAGAAATGTAGGTAAACGATACCGAGCTCGGGTAATATTTCAGAGGACACAATTCGGGGGTAGGCAGGAAAACGAGAAGAACTCGTGATACCTATGGGTCTCAGGGATGCGTCATGCTTCACTCTTCTGTTTGGGGTCCCATTGTAGGGTTGGTGCCATAGGACCCTCCCATCCTGAAAGCCTTCTCATCTGAGTTTCATGGGTCCCGGAACCTTAGAAATATTCGAAAAGATTGCTTATACTGCTTCAGAGCGTGAATTCTGTGAGAAATGGAGTCTTATTTCGAAGAAAAGGCAGGTTGATATCCACCCAGTCATGATTTTGAAGTCATTCAAGAACTGGTAGAGGGCCCGGCAGAAATGGCACGAGGCACTTCCTGCCGCTAGGGGTACTTTCAGAGACACCCCCCCCCCTCCTCCAATTCCCTCCTACCGACGACTTCCTCCCTATCTAGCTACTGTCTCCCTGAAAAGTTTTCAGTTCTCACCAAAAAAAAACGATCGTCGAGCAAAGGGGTGGTGGGAGAAAGAGGGGGGAGATTTCGTCACCAAAC